TTTTTTTTTTTTTTTTTTTAAATTGATTGTTTGCTCTGAACTTTTATTTGTCATAAGGTTTGTCTTATGTCCATTTTTTATTTAATCCAGCTGTATAAAAGTGCGGGAGAAGATGTCATCCAACTGTTTGATCTTTCTGTCATTCCAAAAAACCACGCCGCTGATAGTTCTGATGACAGCTCTGGCTCTTTGCCGTCTTTGATATATAGAGGTAGAAGTGATTCTATACTCTCGCTGGGCACCTTACTGTACCGTATTGCACACAGACTCTCTCTTTCAATGGTATGCAGCAAATTTCATGTAATTGGTTTTATATTGCTCTATCTATTATCTATTATATATTGATTATCCAGTTGTTGCAGTCATCCAATAGCAGGGCAAGGTGTGCAAGATTCTTCCAAAAATGTATCAGTTTCCTAGATGAGCCAGATCATCTGGTATGTCCCCACATGAAATGATGTCGTGTGAGAAACATTTCTTGTTTGGTCACCTGATAAAGTATTTTAATGATTATGTCTATGCCTGTGTCGTGGACAGGTGGTGCGTGCACTTGCTCATGAACAATTTGCGAGACTCCTGCTTACATACAACGAGGAGGTGGAGCTGACATCTGCAGTGCTTCCAATGGAGTCGGAAGTTACCATTTCTGATGCAGAAGAGGAGTCATTTGAGCTTGCTAGTGGGTTGCCTGCATCTATCGTTCAGGATGTTGTATATCCTCCTGTTACAGCTGTCAAACAACTAGAAAGTCCACAATGCCTGGAACTTTTCACGCAAGAATGTTCTGGTGATGCGCCATTCAAACAGTATGTATCTTCACCCGAACTGACTGAAGTGTCCGATGAGATGAAGGAGAACGAGAATCCTCTATGCATTGATGAGAATGATGTTTCAGTCCCTAATTTTCCGAAACAATCAGACGATGCTGTGCAGTCTGTGGGCGATCCATTATCGTCTAAGCTGGCTGCTATACACCATGTCTCTCAAGCCATCAAGTCCCTTAGATGGACTCGACAACTGTACTCTTCTAGAATGGAACCAAACCTGGAAAATGAAGAAACCGAGAACAATCTGTCCCCGTCCATGGATTTTTCTGTCTGCGCCTGTGGGGATCCTGACTGCATCGAAGTTTGTGATATTCGGGAGTGGCTCCCTACATCGAAGTTGGATGAGAAATTGTGGAGACTTGTCCTGCTGCTTGGAGAATCTTATCTCGCCCTTGGCCAGGCTTATAAAGATGATGGCCAGCTGTACCAAGCCTTGAAGATTGTGGACTTAGCTTGCCTGGTCTACGGTTCAATGCCGCAGGACACAATGTTTATCTCTACTATGGTGTGGACCGGCTCATTTGCCCACTCGAATATGAACGCTCAAAGTGAAGATATGACAAACTCCTCCACATGCGGTGATGTTTTGTCTTTCGATGGCCTGTCTTCTAATTTACTATTCTGGGCTAGGGCTTGGACGCTGGTTGGGGATGTTTTTGTTGAGTTCTACTTGATGAAGGGTCAGGAGACCTCGATGCAGACGCAGAGGAAAGAATGTGCCAAGGACCTAAAAATGTCACGTGAGGTAGTAAAGGAGTTTGTGAGGCTGAAAAAGAAGATGGGGAAATTTAATCAGAACTGCCAATCGTGCTCTCTTATAAACTGCAGTTGCAGGAGTGACAGGGCAAGTAGTGGTAGTAGTGCCAGCAGCAGTGGTAGTGGTGCATACTCGTCAAATTACAACAAGAAACAGGGCAAAAAAGCATATGGCAAAGCCAGCTTGTACGCTCGTAATAGTGACTGTGAAGGTAGTGTCTCGCAGAAAGTGGACGCCAGGAATTTTCATGGTGAAGAAAGAATTGGGAATGAAACTTGTAGGATTGCGGATGCTATGGAGGAAATGGAACTCACCGGATCTAAAGAAGATACAGCTCCGAAAAGCTATTCCAAAGAAGAGTCAGCAGCTAGAACTGGCGGTATATTCAAATACTTGAGGGGTTCTATAACCAAAGATGTGGATTATAACCTGTCTGTTGCTTGGACTTGTTACGAGGCAGCTCTCATGGCCATGCTTGGACTTCCCGCTAGTTCAATGGAAGTACAGTCTGTACTTAAGAAGAAAGGATGGACGTGCAATGAACTAGGACGTTATCGACTGGAAATGAAAGACTTGTTAAAGGCCGAAGATGCTTTCTCGAAGGCAATTGATGCGTTTAAACAAGTGGGGGATTATACGAACGTGATCTTGATCAACTGCAATCTAGGCCACGGGCGCCGTGCACTAGCGGAGGATATGATCCCGAAGATCGAAAATCTCAAGCAACACGCAGTTTTCCAAAATGCATATGTGCATGCACTTGAGACCGCCAAGTTACAGTACAGTGAAGCCCTCCGATACTATGGAGCAGCAAAAACGGAGCTAAATGCCCATGGTGCCGAGAAAACGGGTCCCACTCCTGGAGATCTCAAGAATGAGGTGTACACACAACTCGCTCATACACATCTGAGGCTCGGCATGCTACTTGCAAGAGAGAACACTGTTGCCAAGGTTTGTGTCTTTGAAGACGGCTCTATTTCTGGACTTGGTCAAAGTCAGTTCGAGCATGTGAATCATGAAATCTCGGCAAATGATGCAATACGGGAGGCTCTGGCGATGTATGAGGCACTGGGTGACTCGCGAAAGCAGGAGGCTGCGTATGCACATTATCAGCTGGCTTGCTATCAACGGGACTGCTGCTTGAGGTTTTTTGGCTCGGATCAAAAGAAGAATAATTTGGCTAAAGGGGACAATAACGGTGTGGTTCATAAGGTTAAACAGTATGCCTCACTTGCAGAAAGGAACTGGCAGAAGTCGGTTGATTTCTATGGGCCCAAGACGCATCCCGTGATGTTCCTCACCATTCTTGTTGATAGATCGGCTTTGTTGTTTAGCCTGTCGAATTATCTTCGCTCGAGCTCGGTATGTTTTCAGTTTTGGCTTTTACTTTTTACTGAACTAATAATAGTCTTCCTTGAGAAGTGTTCAAAATTTGGATAATAAATATGTTAGTTATTGTTATTACCCTAAACTATTTAAGATAAGTTTTGGTAGTAGACATTATCTTCACCTCTGCATATATTTAAAGGATCTCCTTAATAGTTATTTATTGTTTGCCTGTGCAAAACGCAGCTCCTTGAATCCGCCCTAACTCGTCTGCTCGAAGCACGTCATGTATCTGAGAACACTTCCCTGGCCACCGAAAATCCCGAGGCCTGTGCTAAATTCTGGCGCCAGCTGCAAACGCTCCTGAAGAATATGCTTGCTTCAGCACGTTCGACAAAAGCAAACAGAACTTCTGCCAACTCTCAGCAAACTCC